TGGGTTGGGGGGAAATGGGGAAAGGGGATAACATCTGAAATGTAAATAAAATATCCAATAAAAAATTAATTTCAAAAAAAAGATTTAAAAAAAAAAAGAAGTGATATACCATCAAAAAAAAAATGGCCAACTATACTTTCCCATCTGCTGAGGATCACTGGGCCTCACTACAACAGAAACAACTTTAGTATCTCGACCCTGTAACCTCAGCACTTAGGAGGCTGATGCTGGCAATCACCACGCATTCAAGACCGGTTTGTGGTGCAACCGTGAGACTTTGTCTGCAACAACCAAAATTGCTAATAATAGCAAGATGTCTGTCTTTTCTTGGTTATTTTAGTCGCTCTAAAAACCTTATGTCAACAACCCCAAACACTAAAATTTCAAGACAGTAAGATGGTGATTGCCTTACTATCTATAAGATGTCAAGATGTAGCTGGGCAGTGATGGCGCATGCCTTTAATCCCAGCACTTGGGAGGCAGAGACAGGCGGATTTCTGAGTTAGAGGCCAGCCTGGTCTACAGAGTGAGTTCCAGGACAGCCAGGACTACACAGAGAAACCCTGTCTCGAAAAACAAAAAAAAAAAAACAAAAACAAAAACAAAAAAAAAAAAGATGTCAAGATGCTTAGCACAAATTTTCGTAGATGTGTTGGTTAAATCAACACAGCCATGTGGGTAAGCATTTAGGTAAAGAATCCTGCAAGGGGGGTTGGGGGGGAAGAATCCTGCTTGGGAAAAAATGTAAGAAAAAAAGGAAAAAAATTTAATCTATCAGGTGCTCCTGTGTCTCTTTCTAATTTTTCTCACTTCCTGAATAGTTCACTGAGTATAATGTGCAGGTAGAAACAAATCCATTTCCTAAGAGAGTAGCAGTGTCTATTAACCAGCACTCAGAAAAACAAAATATGATTTCTTAGATACCCTCTCTCTATCGCTATCCCACCAAGGGAAACTGCTATGCTACCTTTTGATAGAATAGAGTATTTTCTCATTTTCCAAACTTTATAGAAAGCGCTCCTCTGTGTCCTTTTGTAACACATGACGTTACTCACAGGAAGCCCATCCGTACTGTCAAGCATAGTTACAGTGAACTGTTGCTATATAGACACATTATACCATGTGACCTTGAACAAGCCAACACAGTTAACAGGGTCTCAAGGGAGGGAGTGGGATTGAAAAAGAAAAAAACAGACAAAATTATAACAACTCCAGCCCATACTGAGGCTGAAGCAGCTTTATTCTTTTCCAGTCTGCTTTTATATCAGTCTGGGTACATCCCAAAAACGTGGTCAGTTCTTAGATCAAAGACAAAGTATCAAGCGAAGTAGTAGACAAGGAGATCACACAAGAAAGTGTTCAAGCAGAAGAGTAAGCAAAAGGACCACACAAGGTAATAGTTAAGTAAAGTAGTAAGAAAATAAATCACCTAGGTAAGTAACTCAGCAAAGTAGTAAGCAAAGCCCATGGTCACTGTTTCTGATATTCTTCTCTGAGGCTACATCCTTGTCCAAGCCCAGTGACAAATGCCAAATTCCTAGAAGTGGCACCAAAAGCTCTCAGCATGACCTTATTACAGGCTTCTATTTACACTACTACTGATAGATGTGTGAGAATTTCCATCTGTAGTTAAATAGCCGATATACACTGCATACCTTTTGGTGAACATATTTAAGCGTACCTATTGCAGTTACCTGAGGAATGACCATCTGTATCCTAAACGCATTCATAATTTAAATGCAGTAATATCGCCTGGCAGTTTTTCAAAGTGGTTATTGCAATTTTTTGTTGTTGTTGTTCAACCCAATGATATTCTTAGAAAATAGAATGTAATTAGATCGCTTTTTTTTCTTCACCGTGTTTCAAAGTGATGGTTATACAGTAGGAACGCGACCCATTTGGATGGGTTTGCCACAGAAGATGGAAAGCTCTGAGTAACACATCACAACACAGCATTCTTCTAAAGAAACCGGAGCAAATGCTCAGCCGTTTATTTCAAGTCATTTGCAGGCTCATTGCAAAATAAATAAGTTTACCACGTTCAACATAGGAAAGTAAGTGCAGGTGATTTCTCAATGCACAGGTCAGAAGTTCTTATAAGCACAGAAATCAAGCAGTTGGAAAAAAAAAATCTCCAGTGGAGGTTGTGGGTTCTGACCAAGAGTCCATAAACTGAAGACACTATCTCAACCTTCCCAACCTTGACTGAAGCTCTTTACCTGACATTCCTTGTCTCATCTACACACTATGGCTCTTAATTCACACCTTGGTTGTAAGGATCACACCATTTCATACACTAGGAATGATTAAGTAATGTAAACAAGCCTACGTTTTGCATCAAAGGCATACAAACATTTTCTTGGATGATAATATTAACTCCTTGCATAGTTTTTCAATTATAATCTGAGAAAGTATTTTCCGCTGTATCTTGTTTTAAACATTTTCTTCTGATCACCACCATTTTTTAATTTTTATTTTATTTTTTTCTTATTCGCTTTATATCCTGCACCCCCTCCCTTTTCCAGTCACCTCTTTCTACAATCCTTCCCCCATCCACTCTCCCTTTCTTCTCTGAGTGGGTTTAATCTTAGAAGTGTTGTGTAATTCAACTCACAGAATCCAGTAATTAAATCTTCCCCACTTTCTAGAGGTTGTTGGTTTATTAGTTCACTGGTTTTCATGGTGATTTCCTTAGTCTCTGTCCTGTCAAATAAGACAACTACACAGCAGTCCTTGAAATGCATATTTATGATCAGACAGTTGAAGCAGTATCTAGAGACAACGGTATGTTACCAGTTAATCATCCCCGATTTTATTTCAGCTAGTACATCATTTCCCCCCACCACCATTTCTAAATTTGTCTTGTCTTATTGTTGAACACATTTGTTTTGAAACCCCATCCTGATGTGACAGAATATGTGTAACAACCCACTGAAAACGCCAAAGTAGTCTGTGTGTCTGCTTCTTCCTCTGGACATGTATCATGGCTACGCATAAGAAGGGAAAGATTCATAACCTATAGTAACTAATTGTCCTTTTCTTTCCATTCTGTTTCCTGCTCTTTCTTGTGCTCCTGTGTGCTGCACGCAGTGCGTCTGGCGAAGTTATGCGGCTGATGAGAAATCTGTTTCCATTGCAACCTGGAAGCCACATCTGAAGGCCTTGCACACCTGCAGCCCAACCAAGTAGGTACCAGTGGGAGAGCTGGTCCTGGAGTTGAGTGTTTTCTAGTTTGTTAAACAAACCATATGTGTGCAAAAAAGTCTATGGGACTTGTTTTATTCTCTCTGTTGCTTTTAAAGATGTTTAAACTATTTAACAACAACAGTAGGAACGCGACCCATTCAACCATAAAACCACATGGAATTGGCATCATTCTTTAACAACTGTAGGCCATGACCCAAGTCTTAAAGAATATGAGTTATATGGTAGTTTTCTAATGTCTCTTCTTATGAAGCAACAGGTCTTGAAAAACAAGGATCACATGATGCATCACCTAATTTTATAGGGAGATTGCTTGGAATCACACACACACACACGTGCACATGCACACACAAGCACACACACATTCACACACATAGCCACACATCATAGTTCTCCTCTCTGGGAAATTTTCTGGATATATGTAAAGAAGGAAGACTATTTGGAAAGCTAATTGAGGGTCTCAAGTGACAGAAGGGAGTGGTCTATTACGTGTGATTATCTGCCTTCCCACTTAGCTATAGTTTTGGATTAAAAGTCATTCCGATTCTGGAAATATAAAATAATGAGTCAATCTCTCTAAGTACCTCATGTAGAATGTTGTTCATATACTGCTCCTCTCCTCCTCCCTGTGTTAAGTGGGGGCAGAGGCAAAGAGGATTGATTCAAACAACTGCCTGCATCCTGTTCCCTTGAGCCCATCAGCCATGCCTTCCGTCACTTCTCCCCACAACCTTCTGTTCCAGATTCACTTACTGAAAAATAGTGACTCATCTCAAAGGACACAGCAGTCACTGGTACCATGCATAGAACCTGGGTGCTCTGACACAAGTACCTCTGAGATATCTAGTTGTTCTTGTGGTTGATAATCATGGCAGTTATTATTGTCGTTGAAATCAGTGAAATGTGACAGAAATTGTGCCCTTTTCCCAAGGATAATATCCATTGCGTGAGTATGCATGCGTGCATACATGAATGCACACACACACATAGACACACACTCACTCACGCACATACACAAACACACAAATCAGAACTATGCCTACAATTTTAATATACTCACGGACTCCCGAAAGCCAAATACAGAACTTTTGCTTTAAAAAGAAAACCTACATCGGTCAAGTTTCTGTTTATGAGAAGAATAACTTACAGTAAGCCACAGAATGGTTTTACTTAAAATTAACTAGTTCTGAATGCAAGCTGATGCAATGCAAAAGACTGAATCTTCTTTACATCTGCATGGTAGGTTTCTCCTTAGCGTTCAGATTGCAAGGACTCTGAAAGAGAGAGCATCCACTCATCTGTGCAGCCATTCTGCAAGTGCTCACTGAACACTTACTGTGCACAAGGTTGTATTTCCGAGACTAAACAGGAAACAGACAGGGAAAACCAGAATAAGTTAGTCTCATGGCTCAAGAACTAGACACTCAAAGATGCCGAGAATAAGACAGTAAATGCAAATATTGTGAAGTGTACATAAGCTTTAAAAAGAAATGTAGACAGCAAAGGGCTCATTGGGGGCTATTGTCAACTCTACCATCACCACCACTAACAATGACATTATTGCTCTGGTTCCCCCACAGTTCTGGGAATGTTTTTAGTTGATCTCACTCTCCAAGCTCATATCAAAGACTGTGGTGAAAGATGAGTCTAAGAAACAACTCTTTGAGTCTGGGAGATGTAGAGAGAATTAGAACCCTGAACCCTCTTCACACCTCCCAAGGTTATGAAGGAGAAGTTTCTTTCTCTTTCCTCAGCCATGGTTTTCCTCATATATACACTGTACATGAGAGATCTCAGCCACCTCTTTTTCAAAGCTTTGTTTTAATGAGAGGGGCATTTATAAAGGAAAATATTTCCCCGATTTTTCTTCTCAAAATGGGTGAAGGCTATACAATTGTGAACTCCATGGAAATACGGTATTTCAAAGAACAATTTAGATATTTTAAGAAGTTGTGGAAAAGTCTCAAGCTACAGAGATGTTATGGGTTACATTGAGACGTCACAATTGAGACACTATCTGATATAATGCCTTCCCATTTAGCTGAAACATTGAGACACAAGAAAAGAAGACACGTTGACCATAGCCCACAATTCATTGGCAGAGGTGCTCCCATACACCATGCCATTATGGGTGGTTACAAATGTCACCCAACAGTGGGCTGTAAGAGCTCAGATAGGTTTTTCTGTGCACCTTATTTACTGCAAGGAAGTTCATTCTTCATATAAGAGAAAAAAATATCTACCTCAGTAAGTGACTGAAGAACAAAACAACAGTCATAGATTAAGGCCTCTAGGGCTTGTCCCTAAAAGTCTGCCCAAGACACAGGGACCACAGCCATATTGGAATCTGCAACACTCCAGGAGCCTTTGCCAAAGCTTCTTCAACCAGAACCATAGTTTCTTAACCAAACAGTGTGTGGTATTCTGCTGTGTGGGGGTGGTGCTGGACTTGCCAAATAATGTTGTACTGTCTCAGATCTGCCACAAAGAGCATATGTTTGAAAGCTGTGTACAGTTATTATAAATAGCATTACTTCTATGGACTGTACTTTAAAGGGGGTTACGTAAAGGGACCTGATTACCCTGTCCCCCAGCTGGACCATTATCAAATGTACTCACTGGCTTATCATCATTTCTCTTCTGTCTGCACGCATCTGAAGGAAAGAACAAGGGGAGGCATCAAGCAGGTTTGTGATCTCTCTTCTGCTACATGTTTGTTTATAAATCAGATGCCTAACTGGTGCTTTAAATGTGCCTCATGAGTAAAATCGATCAACAAATGCAAGATGATTAAAAGTGACCTTTCACAAGATTGCCTGCACAGTTTACTGGGTTTTATCGATTCTTTTTTTTTTTTCCCTCCTCGGGAATAGAAGCATTTTTTTTCCTAACCCACTCAGGGCCTTTTAACAATGTGTAATGCCTGGAATGAAAGTTCAGGTGCAAAATAATCACACTCCTTGATTATTTTTGTCTGCCACTGTCCCCAACAGAAGTCCTTCCCCAGTATTCAAGTGGAGTTATCTAAAGGCCTAGTGGGAGAAAGTGTTTCTGAATGGGCAGTAGTCTAGGATAGACTTCCCTCTATTAGAGTGCTTTTCTTGAGATAAGAAATTTCTCTCTTATTTTTTTTTTTAATTTGGCAAGAGGCACACTAAAGACAAGAGGCAAGAACCACCTGTGTAGGATATCTCCAGGCCAGGGAACAATAAAGTTTACTTGGGTTATGAATTCTACAGGGAAGATCTCATCTTCAGGAAAAAGACCTCTCCCACAATTTCCCCAGATGCCTCATAGTAGCTCCTCCTAGAAAGACTCAGAGAGAATAGAAGCCAAGAGTAATGAGTAAGAAGTTCCAGGAAATGTCTGGACTGAGGAGCAAAGCCTGAAAGGAAAGGCTGTAGATCCCCACAGTGGCATATAAGCAGTGGCAAGCAGAAGCAACAAGAAGTGGTAAATGTTTGTATTATTTCCTATCATTGCCATTTGCTTCAATAAAGAGAAAACAAGGTATTCTCATGCCCTTAGCTAGCTTCTAGTGAGGGTCTATGATGACACAAACTGTAAAATATTTATATAATACTTAATTAGTTCTGAAGCTTCCTCTGGAGTGATAAGACTGTGTTACTCATTTCTGCTTTAATATTTAAAAAAAAAATTCCCAGACCAAGATGTCCATGCTTACAGGTGCTCCATACAGTATGAGACACTGCCCCAAGTTCTCCCTCTGTGCAGGTGAGCCAATGCATTCAGGACCCTCCCTTAAGTCAGAAGGAAAATACTGACAGCCATGGATGCTGGATGTCCTTGAGTGATGATTACAGAAAGTTTTAGCTACCCAATGAGTTGTTCTTTTCGAGAGATATTTCTAACCAAAAAGAAATTTAGTCTTTGGGTCAAGCACCATCTTTGCATAGACATCTGAGAGTCGAGTTTACTCTTAGTGATATTTATAAGGCATTGTCTCAGAATGATCTATCTGTGGTTTATCCAGAGGGTAATTTGTCTCCAGAGTCTAATAGCATGGGTTGCAGAGCAACTCGTGGAGTGGGTCACCTTTCTTAATTTCATCCTCCAAAATGAAACTTAGACAACAAAAGAGGATATTATAGGTCATGTATAGATGCTTGAATAAACGTGACCTCTTCGGCAATCCTGAGATTGCCTGAGATTTCTGGTCACCTTGGGCCAATGATAACAACAACAGAAAACACATTTCTCAAGGTTAATATATCAGAAAAGTTATGTCTATCTAAAATGTTAAAATCCGTTCAACAGACCTGTGTCTGATGTTGTTAAAGATAGTTCATTTGTAGGTTTGAATGTGTGCAGTGCAGAACCACTCAACTAGGCTCATGACTTGAAGAATGACATGGTGAAATTCTTTGCTTCTCTGCAGGCATTGAATATTTGACAAAACCAACCTTGAAGCCAGTCCTATATCACCACTCAATTTTTCAAGCCCCCTCTCATTAATTTATTTACTTATTCACTTTACATCCTGATAGCAGCCCCCTCCCCCTCTCCTCCCAGTCCCATACTCACAAGCCCCCCCCCCATTACTCCCTCTCCTTCTGAGAGAAGGGGAAGCCCTGCTTTAGTACCTACCTGCCCCGGGACATCAAGTCTAAGCAGGACTAAGCCCATCCTCTCCCACTGAGGCCTGACCAGACCAGTCAGTCCAGCTAGGTGAAGGAGATCCAATGACAGGCAACAGAGTCAGGGACAGTCCGTGCTCCTATTGTTAGGGGACCCACTCCCCAATTATTTATTGCATCTGCCATGTAAGGTGATAACAGAAAATGTACTTAATGAATTATTCTTGATTGTAAGAATGAAATTTCCCTGACTCCAAGTACTTTTTGAAAAACACCACCAACAAGAAAACCAAGATGAACTCAGCAGTTATGAGCACACACTGTTCTTGCAGAAAACACAGATTAATTTCCAAGCATCTATGTCAGGGGGCTCACTTCTGTAA